GTTGCCTAGACTGGAGTGCAGTGGCTGCTCCCGGCCACCGCAGCCTCGACCTGCTGGGCTCTGGCGATCCTTCCGCCTCAGCCTTCCAAGTAGCTGGAACTACAGGCGTGCGCTACCATGCCCGGCTAATTTTTTATTTATTGTAGAGATGAGGTCTTGCCAAGTTGCCCAGGCAGATCTCGAACCTGCAGGCTCAGGCAATCCACTCACCTCAGCCTCCCAAAGCGTGGGATTACAGACTGAGCCACCAAGCCCGGTTTATATTCTTTTTTGATGAGGACTCAGGCTCAAGCATAAACTGACAATTAGGTTCAAGTGGTGAATTAAATTAATGAATGGTTAGCCTTTATAATAGAAATATAACTAGAACTCTACAAAGTGGCTAATTGTTCTTTTCTGTTCAGTTCTTTGTAGCTCAGTTTTAAATAATAGCTGCTAGAAGTATATCAGTGTGTTGTATCATTGTGAATTTTATGAATTTGGAAATTTTATATTGAAAATTTGAGTTTAATAGTTTGTCTGTTTATCTTTTCTTGATTTTTGTTACGATTTTTCTTTAGGAATAAGAGAAGATCCCGATGTTTGTCTGAAAGCACCATGAAGAAAAATAAAGCACCTTGTACTTTATTTTCAATAATTTAAATGTATGCTAAGTCTAGTATATTATAGATTATACAGTTCAGTGAGCTACAAATGCACTCCTAAAACCATCATAGTCCTGTAATGGAAGCATCTAGCCTGATGTCAAAGCTGAAATGGACTTTGTAGATAATGAGGAGCTTTGCAATGAGAATTGTGAAGAAAACAGTTCCATCAGTAATTTTCAGTTATCATATTTACAAATGGGAAACAATTTAAAGCATAATAAGTACTTTATAAAATGTTAATGCCAATTCTTGCCAAATAAAAATAAAAATAACCCTCAGTTTTTGTCAAAAACTCCATCGTTAGTGAAATATTCTTTGACAGTTACTATTTTAAAATTTCTTGCTTGATTTTGTGGTGGGAAGTTGGTTGGTGTCCCTCATCTTTGTCATGTGCGGTTCTCCACTATCTATGGTATCATAGGCTCTTTTGGGATTTATGAAGTCCTGCACTGTGTGCTGAAGCAAGTGCTAGGTAGAACGAAGAATTTCTATTTAATTCCAAAAGCAACCTTCTTGCCTAGTGTTCTGATGTTGGACAGTAAAATACACAAGCCAACCTGAAGTTAAAGTCCCATAATTTAAAATATGCTCTAAATGTTTATTATATTTGATGCTACAGAAGTTGAAATTATATTGCAAATTCAATGACGTAGATTTTTCTTCTTTTTATTTACCTCTGCCCCAGTTGTTTCTACTACATGTTAAAACTTCATTTCGAAGGGAAACTTCAGCTGTGGCTTATGAATAACTGATTTGTAAGCAGCCTTCCTTTTAGATAACCCCACAAGACCACTGGAAAGTTTATAGTTATATTAATTTTTTACTATTTCAAGTGATTGAAGCCTAAGTGAGTGTCAGAGTTTTATGCAGTATTTTCTTCTCACATTTATATTTTCATGACGTTTGTGATTGATTATATGCCATGTTTCTTCAGGGCTCACAGAATTCATTCACTCAACAAACATAATAAGGTATTGGGATGCCTGGTCCCTGCCCTCAGGTAGCTCACTGTCTAGCTGGAAAAGAATACAATAACAATATAAGAAAAGGGGAAAAGGACAATACAAGAAAACAACAACAATGAAAGTTAATAAGTACATAATATGTGAGGTTCCCTATATATAGGTAGATCTGTCTTTAGAGGCAGAATGAATCAACACAAATACTCTGGCCCATGGTCCATAGGAATAGGTTAATAATCTTCATCGTAAACTAATAAATTGGGATTCTGGGTTGTACGTGAGTGTTGGTAAGCTTGGTTAATAATTAGTGAATTGCTGAGCGACAGAGCTACTCTTCATGTTTTGGCAAAATCTGGTTTCTGAGCCTTTAACATGGATGCTATGGGAGTACAGAGGTGGAGTCTGGTCACAGCAATGTATTGTGGGTATCTTACCATTTTTTTGAAGTAAGGGCATCACTTTTAACTTGTAAAGGAATTCAGAAAACCTACTTTCAAAATAAAATGCGTATGTTTAAATAATTTTTAATTATGTACAGCTTGAATTTAAATTTTAATAGGTGTAACTAATTTTTACTCTTTCTAATGTGTTCATTCTGGAATACTCCTAAACACATGAATTATGTTTGTATATTCCTTTACAAAAGTCATTTTTGGAAAAAGCTTTTTTGAATCATTAATGGTGTTTCACATTTAACTAAAGTGTTTGAAAGCTTTATTTACCTAATTTGTCTTGAAATATTCTGTATAAAATACAGATGCTATTAACAAACCAAGTAAGGCATTGATGAAGGTTATCTTAATTATCTTATTGGACTGATTCCCTGGAAAAGGTAAGTGCTTTTCCGATCTTGCTGTTGTCAAAGTTCCAAGTTGATGAGCCTACTCCCTGCCTTGTTTGGCTGGTCTTTTATTTATCAATTTTTTTCACTTTTTCTTTCCCAACATGAGCGTTCTTGCTATTTTCCAGTATGTAATCACTTGCACCTTTACAAAAAGGTCATATTCTTGCCATATCTAAAATATTGCCATGCTAACATACACCTGTAAGATGCTGAGTCAAGGTAGAAAAATGCACATGTATTTCCAAGTGTGCCCCTTTAGAAAACAATGTGTGTCAGCAAGCCCACAAGGAACATGACAGCTTATCAAATACTTGTTCATTTACTCTGAAATTTTTTCTTAAGAGATAAGGTCAGGGAGACAAGCTTAGGTAATTGTCTGTTTGGTTATTACAGGCAGAAAACTTTTGTGGTGGTACACAGGTAGTATTCTACCTGTGTACAGAAAATGCCTCTGTTTAAGTCTTCTGCTGTAAATAAAAGGCTGGATTTAAGATGTTCTTTGGGATAGAATGAATGGAGAATTAAAAGTGTGAGAAACAGCTTTCAACTTTTTAAAGTATGTTTCAACGTCAGCTTATGTTTTATTAAGCTCAGAATCCAAAGTCTACGAATAATAAAACCCAGATTTGCCCCTGAGCATTTCACAGTTACAGTATGCTTGGTCTTCCTGTTTGGGTGCTATAAATTCGACTTTGACCACCAATATTTTCCTTGCAGTAAATGGGGTACTATTATTTTGCAGTCTGCAGGTAGAGGTGAAGTGAAACCACTCAGTTTGGTCACTTTCATAATTTGAAGTCATTGACCAAACTTGTAGTAAAAGGTTAAATTCTTATCATTAGGTCATTTGGTTTTTAAATGAAGATTTTTTTCTAATGTAGAAAGATATAGCAAACCTGACCAACTACCTGGATAGAGCCCATTAGCAACATATATGGAATCGTGATATATACACCTTGATTTTATGTACACACACACACAAATTGAACTGTTCTCTCACAAGGTGAAAAAAGGTGATACCACATACCACATCTGGTATTAGACGGACAGAATAAAAGCAGGAGTGCAAGAGACCTGAATTTTTTCATTTTTGTCACTGACTATTCATGTGACCTTAGGTAAGTCTGTCTGTTACTGTTATTGCATTTGTCAAGTAGGCATAATAAAGTTTTACTAACCTCACAGGAATATTAAGATACAAGAATTACGTAACTTTAAAGTAGTAATATCACTAAATGTTTAAATAGCACTGATATTCACAGATCTCTAAAAGTGAGGGTGAATAGGAAAGGAATATGGAGAAATCTTTTATTTCCTTTAATAATTCTCTCAGTGCAGAAGCTCCTGCCCTCTCCCTCTCTCTTTTTTTTAATACTCCGAGGGTGAGGTGGGATGCTCATTTAAAACACACACACACAACAAAACAAAACCCAACGCAGGTGATTGATCATAACACTCCCCTTCCCCTATTGCTTTTTGCTGATAGGTTGTATTGAGATAAAGTTGTCTTCTACTCTATGAATCCTTTCACAGTGAATAAAAAAGCAGCAGGGCATTTTGAAATGGTGTAAATTCCAGGATTTCAAGCAAGATTCGGTAATGGGCTGTCTGGGTTATATGTGCTCCATTAGTATGAAGTTGAATTTTTGAAGATCTGTTGGCTAGATTTCTCAGCATCACTAAATGTCTTCTTGTAAAAATAAGTGCCAAATGACCATTGTGATTGCCGAAGATGTAAGGCCTCAGAAGAGCTTTTTTTCTAATAGATTCTTTCGTGGTTGCCACCCCTCCCCCATCCCCACGCTGTCACCCCAACATTTATTTTTGCTAGTGCATCTGGGTTCCCTTTTTTCCTAACTCCCTCACACCTTTTTAAAAATTTTCTTTCTACTGCTAAGAAAGGCACCAAAAGGAAAGTGAAAGCTTTAAAAAATTTTTAATGCCTAGAAACATTTAAATTTGCAGCAGCTACTCTTCTTTGTTTATTAAATAGTCATTTGTGTCAGAGATCCTATTTGTATGAAAAATAAAAATGAAGAGATGTCTGCCGAGGATTAGGAACTTTTTGATTTCTGCACGTACATTTCCAAGATGATGTGGTTTTATTGTTTCCTGTTAGGGAGCCACTTTTCCTATCTTAGGTGACCAGACTGACTTGAGAATGCAGTTTGGCACACAAATAAAATCGGACACATTGTTCATTTGCAATTTTATTTTTTAAAAATGAAATATTCAAAGTACTTTTCTTTCAAATATCGACACATAATATTTAACTTTAAATATTTACAGCATGTTGTTGTGATGCTCTTGTACAAAAATGCATGCTTCTGGCCTGAAAGCCAGAGCAAAATGCAAAAGACCATTTAACTGCAGCCAGAGAACATGAACCTGTACAGTATCCAGTCACTTTTCAGCACAGGAGTGAGAGCAGGAATACAAAATTGGAACCTATTGTTTCCTAGCAACATGGCTCAGGCCATTATAACACAATTTTCAGTATGATTAGAACCTCTAACTGTTGTTATATAGAAACTGAAAATCTTGGCATACACTGTAAACATCTTTACTTTTCATGAGAAAGTAAGCAGCTAAAAAGAATATTTTTCTGACGTAAAGGCTATACTTCTCTTTTTTGCCTTCTCTCTTACTGATGCTTTTGCCAGAAGAATAGTAAAGATTTAGACATTGTCATGATTCATACAAGTAAAATATTTTTCAAGGACACAATCTGATATACTAACATTTATTTAAGAGGTTAAAGTCCACCACTAAATCTAAGGAAAGATTTTTAACTGCCAAACACATTTCCTTTGACAAAAAATGTAAGATGACAACTGCCAAGACAAAATCCACAGCAAGTTTAACTCTAAGTATTTTCAGTTACTGCTTAGAAAGTAATTTCTTCTTACACACAGTAGTATATTTGGTCCTTAATAGCTTTCACATGAAGGACACATTGAAATAATAGTCACTATTTTGTGGTTGAATTATTTTTTGTTGTTGTTTGTTTTTTCAAAATTTGTTTTGTTTTTTTGTTTTTTTTGTTTTTTTTTTTTCCTTTTTTTGTTTTTGTTTTCTTTGCAGAATAAAGAACCTTTACAGAAAGCTGTGGAACAGCTGAAATACTAGTCAGGTCAGCTTTGTGTATGTGAGTTCCTCCAAGAAAACAAGAATGGTGCACCCAATCAGTAGCCTGTCTTTCCACAAGCTGTAATACACTCTCCAATCTCTCCAACATTTTCTTTCAATATTCAATTACTGTACTTTTGCTTCCATTACCACTGAATTCCATTATAATTGTCCTTACACAAACACATCTTAAAAAATGCAAAAACCTTACCCTGACTCTCTCAGGTGATATTACAGGGGGGCCTGGTCTAGTTAAAAAATATTTTTAAAAAGGAAAGAAAGAAAAAGAAAAAAAGTAGAAACATGATAGAATGCTTGAAACTCTGTCAACAGTGATGAACAAGCCTTATGAAAATTATAACTTAGTTTTATACCTCTCTAGGTAGCATGTGAATTCCAAATTATACATTGTCAAGTTTTCATACATTTGGCTATGTTGTATATATTATATTATATATATGTAGTCTATATATTATAGATCTTCTAGATAAATTGACAATAAAGGACACACTTATTTTATACATTATTTTGTTGGGTTAAAAATAAAACATATACTTATTTATATGGTGTTTTGTTGAAAGTTAGTATGATTTGAGCTTTATTTCCTTTTCCTTCAGGAGTCATGCTTCTAATCAATAATGATTAGAATGACAACTTAAACATATTTAAATGTCTGTTAAGCTTTGAACTTTTCAGTTCGTTTGGATCTCTAGACTGCAGTGCAAGAGTAAAAACAAAACAAAATAGAAAATCACAAACAAAAAGGGCTTAGCTGGGAAAAAGAAACAATCAGAGGATTCTCTGCCTCCAGCCCAGGGTGTTCTTCACAGGAGAGTCCAACTATTGTGCTCTCACTTTAACTTACTTGAATGGTTTGTGGCTGTGTAGTGTCAGCCACCTGCCTTCTGGGTATGAGAAATTCATGTATTTCTCTGAAAATGCTTTTGCTTTCATCAGAAAATGCAAATGAATTATTCTTTCATTAATTTAAACTTCAGAACTACAAGTCAATGAAGGCATTCTTTCTATTCAGCTGAATAGGAAGCAATGTACTATATCCTCATGTTCTTCTCAAGAAATGCCAAAATGTTTCTCTTAGATTTACTACTCATTAGTGCTAACATTTTGATCTTTTTTCTTTCCTCCCCAAAACTTTAGAAGTTGTAAAAAGAACAATAATAGTTCAAGGCAGTAGTAAAACCATAGCTGTACGTTATAGAAAGTGCATTTCCTGAATATAATACAAATATAACTTTAAGAAACTAAAGGCACAAACTAACTAAATATGTATTACAAACTAGAAATGCACAGTTCAAGGTAATTACTATTAAGTAAAAGCTTCAAATATTTGTTTCTAATGGATATTTAAAGTAGTTTGAAAATGATACATCAACAGTGAATTGCAAAAAAGTACAATCACTTAAAATATAAGCAAAATAGACTCTAATATTGACATCTTGGATAGTGATAAAATACATCATCACATTGATGAATGCACTCTCTATATACAGTTCACAAATTATTCCATTAATTCAAAAGAACATCGGCGGTTCGAGGAACTCAAGGTTCATTTTTAGGTTGGTGTGGAGGTATTCAAATTTTCAACAAGTTTGCTAGTAATTTTAGAATTCCATCCTGAATAAATACTGAACTATTAAAACAGGCCTGATTCAGGAAAAACAAAAACAATAATGTGATTTTGGTCTGGATTAGCAGTATCTTGAGCTGGTGTGTTTCCAATTACAAAGAGAGATGAGTTCATTACGAATTCTTTCTCTCTCTCTGGTCTCCCAAAATACATGTGTAAGAATGTGGTAAGTCAACCTGAAGGTTTTAAAAATGAAATGTTTGAATACACCCTCCCCTACTTCCTGCCAGAGTCCTTTCCTTTCTCTTGCTGTCCTTTGTGTAGTAGGAGGCAGACTCTTTAAAACCCTTAACATGAGCCTGGATTCTGACTTTGCATAAGAAACTGTCATCACAAAGCAAGGCAATGACCCCACACTGCATTTAGGTAGTAGCTGGAAAGAATCCAAACTAACATTCCATCATAAATTCTTCTTCAGACACAGCAAATGTTCAGACTCCGTGATGAAAGTGCTGAAGCTGGCTCAGGGGAATTTTCTACAGGCCACATTGTGCTGTCATGTATTTTCATTTGTGGTAACTTACAATTACACAGCATTTTACAAACTGTCTCTTTGTCACTGGGCACAAATCTTCCAGCTCACCAAGGGGTTTCTTTTACTGCAGGATTCCTAGAGATTGAGAAACTGCAACTGATGTTAACACTAATCCTGACCTTTCTTCAAATTTTAGATGATTGCAGAACAAATAACCTGTCTTGGAAAACAGTAATTTTCCTAGGCAGAAAAGCTGATTAAATAAAAATAATGGGGTAAAAGTGGAGAACTGAAACAACTAAACATAAATTGTTAGTAAGAACTAGTCTGCCTCTTTATAATTAGTTAAAATGTTTTAGGTTGGAAAGGATTCACTTGATTTATTCCTGAATATGGTTGGGAGATGTTCAAGACAGAATTGTACATTTTAAAGATAAATGTAAGTGGGCTAAAACAATGTGGCAGCAACTGCTATGATGTTTGATCTGATCTTCCCTTTGGTACTTTCACTTTAGTACTGGGTCTATTTTTTAAAGGGTTTTGGCTCTTATATATTTCTGCAGTGGTAGTGTATTTATTGACATCCCAGGCATGTATGCCTGCTAAAGCCTCTTTTTTTTTTGTACCACAATCATACTTCTTAGTAAATTACCTTTCATGTGCACAAAACCATTGAATTAGTGTATAAATACTGAATCACTAATGTGAAACTATGATCAAAACACACCCTATATATAAATGAGAAATTCCTACCCAGATTAATAAAAGTTATGTTTACATGACGCCAATACAGCTGAACAATTTGTTAAAAAATGTCATCAAAACAGGTTGCACGAGAGAGGTCACATTGGCCAGCTGCTTTGATATCATGTACACACAAGCAAATAGTGGCTATTCACTCTGGTTACCACACCCACAGGGAAGTATGGTAGACAGAAGCCAGCCACCACACGCCAAAACACAGCACAACAACATGGCATTTACTTTAACAAGCAAGGAGGAATAATCAGGAAGGAAGGGCAAATGGGTCTTGACTCCAGGAGATGGTGGCTGAGGGCATTTTACACTTCTTTTTAAGTTCCCTATAACAGATCTGGAAAATGTGAAAGGGCTGGCAGTTTTTCAAAATGTAGGTTCAGATACTATTGCACCACCTTTTCAAACAGCCCGCGAGTTCTGCCAACAGTTAAGTACGAAACTTTGTGTCACAATAGAGATAGAGAACCTTGGGTTCTCTCTGGATATTGAAACATATGCATGACTCAACAAATTTAAAGTGGTGCTTTCTGAAACCTTTTCAGCGGTTTGAGTTCTACTTGTGTTATTTTGAATACTGCCACACAAGAACTAAAAATCTCTGTCGTTTCTTAAAGAGTTTAAACAAACAATATTAAAATACCATCTTCCGTCACATTGAAAGGCAGTTGGATAAGTTTTTCCTCCATATTTACATATACAGAGTTCTGATCTAGAAAACCAATACAATAAACCATTTTATGTTTTAAAAACAGGCAGTCTTTGGTGACGCAAAGGCAGAGATTTTTTTTGTTACCTCCTGCCTATTTCGCTCTGTCTCATAAAGTGAATATTGTTGGCACTGTCAGAAAGTTCTAAATACTGCTCAACAGACAAAACAAAATACCCATCGTAACCTTGTACCCGCCCAGTGCTCAAAAGCTGCTGCTTTTCCCCCTCTGTCCATGCCCGAATCCCCTCTTCCCCTTCTTGCAGCCTTCTTTGTTCCTTAGTCCAGGCCTGGGACACCGCGCGCTGTCTGGCAATCTCCAACACGTGATTCTTTTCCTCTTCCACAGTTGTCCCATACCGGATGTTGAAGCACAGGGCCCCATGCTGGAGCTGAATATCTGCAAACCGTCTAGTCCTCCCATTCAACACAGATGTCATCTGGGACACAGTGACATTGACACCATTCTCTAGAATACGCCTCCCCCCAGTGTTACCGATGAGCACTAGGTCTTCCTCCAGAGACCCAAGCTTAATGAAGTAGTGAGTGTCCCTCCCTTCTATGGTAAAATGTAGGTTTTCCAGGTAATGGGCATTATTGAGAATGGCAGCAAGTCGCCTGCTATCTTCATTGGCTACTCCTATGATATCAGCTGTCACTATGCCATCCTTTATGGCGAACTTTATACCCTTTCCGAAAACAGAAGGGACAGCAGCAAACCTTGGTTGCTTCCCTCCTTCAAGGCACCGTCCATCATTGTATCGGGGAGTCATAGGAAGTTGGTCCAAAGAAATGAAATTTCTGAGCTGTTTCTGAAGCTCACACTGAATGCCCAGGATAGTCTAGGAAAGATGAGAGGCACAGAACAAATGCAGCATGGGGTTAGACATCTGTCAGACGCTTAGTGATTATGGATAAGGCAGGCTTGCAGGTTGGCTTTCTTTTCTCTTTAATTTGTCAGTCAGTGATTTAAAAACAAGCTAAATTTGGAATCTCTTCATTCGAGATTTGGAAAAGAAAAGCCTAACAGGTGACTACCTAGCATTCTTATATCTTGGTGGAGTTAAGCCTAAGGAAATATGCTCAAATTTGATACCATAGAATCACAGAGCTAGAAGGCACTTTAGTGGGTTCAGACCCCCAAAACACAGAAACAGTGAGGCACAAAGAAATGAATAAGGCATAGATCTTGCTTTCAACAGCTTATGACCTTATAAATAATTATGGCAATCTGCAAGGAGTTCACTGATCTTTTATGTGGACTTAAAAAACACCCTTTTTGTTTTGGCTAATTTCAAACTTACTGATAAAGAAAGAGAAAAGACTAATGAACTTTCAAGTATCCATCATGAAGCTTCAGGATATTCAACATTTTGCTAAACTATTTTAAGAAGAGTGTTTAATTACAAAACGTCCACATATTATATGTATTTACAAAAAGGGATCAACCGATAGTACCTACTTAGAATGTCGTCTCCCTTATAACTTTTTAGCCTTAAATTTCTTTTGAGATTTAAATTTCAAGCCCTCTCACCTGAATTTTAGTTGTATTTTATCTACATTTTTTTCAAACACAGACAACCCTCTTTTCACCAGTTAAAAGAAAAAGTTCCTTCTTATTTTCATTTTTTCTCCATACTTCTGATGAAATTGTCTGTCAAGTCTTGAATGTTGTAGTGTCCCTATTTTTGTACAGATTTTGTCCCTGTACTATTGATTGTTTTTGCTTCATTGGGCTTATATACTTTATCAGAATAATTTTATTCTGTTATTCTTGTGCTTTTAAGACACCATCCCTTATTTTACAGTTGGAAATCTGATAGATGTATGTCTCTTAGTGAGTGGTTTTCTCTATATAGAGCCCATAATTGCTCTTGGTTGCACACTTCAGAATTTTGAAAGTTTAGTTTCTCTTTCCTCTTTTTTATCGATTGGAGCAGTCAACAAGTAACCTATTAGTTTTTTCTTTTCCAAAAGCTCCAATTGCCTGATCTTTTCCTCACAGAGCTTTTTTCTACCTCCACATTAATTGTGCACATCTTAGTGAATACTTAGCAAGACTAAAAAATAAGTAAGCAAATGTACATGTAAATACCATTTCATGGTGTTGAATGCTTTTCTGTTTTTTCATCTAAATAGAGATGATAAAACTTTTACTAACCTTTCCAGGACCCCACTCTTGAGTTTTTGTCTGAAGCTGCAGCAGCTCATAAGTTAATTCCAAATTTTCTAATTCTGGTTTGGGAAATCCAGGTAGTACATTGTGTAACTGGAAACCAAATAGCTCCAACCAAGTTCCGATGTCTGTGAGACACAGAATTACAAGAAAAGATAGAAATTTAAAGCTCATATTTGTTGAATCTTTACTTTGTTGAATCTTTGTTGAAAGCTGAAAGATGCCCCTCCGGACTTCAATACATTTAGGCAATGGGAAAGTTAGGGCTGAAACTCCCTCTTAAACAACCCACTCTCAAACATATGTGCCTCTCTCTACAGAGAAAACTTTTGACTACCAGATAATCCTGGAAATAGGCTCAGTTTACAACACTGAAACTCTTAATGTGGTAGTGGTACTAAGTCCACACAGGCCATAATACTACGTTTATATGATGCAACATAATTCTGAATTTTTCTTTTAACAAAATTATTTGTAAAAGCTTTTAAGAGTGAAACACAGAAACAGATAGCTTAAAAGGAAAGAAAAAATGTACTGGGATGCAAAAGCATCAAATTTTATTTAATGTGCACATTTGCTCACTCTCGAAAACTAAGGAAGAGAGCGAATGCACAATACCTTGCGGGCTGACTGGCAGGAAGAGGAAGCATATTTACAAAGGCATTGAGATTATGTGATAAACAACAGTGAGTTATCTCAAGTTTAGCTTAAAGTGTTACACCGTTTAAATACCTGTGGTATACTTTGCAACATCTTGAATTTTGCCAACTGGGTAGTTATTTTCAAAGGAGTAGAGGTTGAAGGGTTTAGGAAGAAGGTTCAACTGTTTCCATATGTGATGATTGGGTGTCGTCCATCTGCCAGCGATAACATCATAATCCCTTTGACCCAAGTGCACTAATTTAGTAAGGAAATCATAGAGTCCTCCATGAAAACCAATGATGACCTGAAAGTCAGGGTAAGTGTCATGATAGATATCGCCATAAGGTGTGTATAATATCTCTTTTATGACCTGACCTCGACTACTGAACACAGCTAGTGGGGTACCTGTATTATCACAGGCTACATAATATTCTTCACCACTGCTTAACTCCATGGCAATAAGGTGACCTTGGAGATCATAATACAAAGACGTAATCTCTGAGCTTGTGTGGTTGTACAAATGAGTAACTCTTATGGGGTTGGCAAGGTCTGCATAAAAGAACTGGAGGTGCTGCCCTAGGCTGGACTTACTGGCGACGCGTCGCCCAAGCCCATCATAGTAATACTGCACAGCCCAGCCAGAGGCCTTATTGTAGGCTTTCTGCAGCAGACCATTAGAATTGTATTCAAATATGTCATTTCCCCTCTGCCTCAGAAAGCCATCCTCATCCATTTTATACTGAATTTCTCCTAGTCTGGTGATGCGGTCACGGAGGTCATATCGGAGAGGAGTAAGACGAGCACTATTTCCATGGCTTAAGAGGTTGATGTTTCCATTCAGATCATAGCTATAGCGCCACTGGGTTTTGTCATTTACAGAAACAGTCTGAAGTTGTCCATCAGCATCGTATTCATAGAAGTACCTTGTGATATTGGCATCTACGCCTACCCTTATGTCACATATTACCATACGGCCCATATTATCATATTGAATAGTCATCCAGTAGGCAATTGCCTTTAGGATTTCATACTGGACCTCAATGACTTGCCCATTAGCACTGAAGATCTTAGTGTGCTTCATCACAGTGGTAGTTATGACCTGATTTAAATCGTAATTAATAACACTGAATTTTCCAAACTGCTCTGTTCTACCAGAGACATCAACATATCGGTACAGATCTATGGGCAAAGGGGTTTCATTGATCACAGCTTGCATGCTGGTGACTCGGAAGTTGTTGTAGCTGTAGTCAAACCGTGCATTTACAAGACCCTCTTCACTGAATCTGAAAATCTGACGTCCAATAAGAGGTCCTGTAGGAGGCAAAATAAAAATAACAAGAAAAAACTAGGTGATTAATGTGGAACAGTCAGAAAGGTCTAGTGTCACTTTACTTAGTATTGATGCTTTTAAATTAAAAATACAATATTAGAGATTGATCTCTGATATCTAATGCATAGGCATATTCCCTTACAAATATGTATTTTCATAGTGGTAGTCATCAAATTTTTAAAAAAACTGTAAAATACTTACTGTACAGTATAGTTACAGAATAATTTAATTATAGAAACTACAGAAGTAATAACCCATCCAGTAGTCTGGGGTGATGAGACAGATATTGTGAACATGCTTTCTTGCTATAATCACTGATAAAAATGCTTTCATTTCATTTAACCTTTGCTACAAAGTCCGAGGGTCAGGTTTTGATCCAGCATTAAAGTAACTAGATTTGGGCATTTTATAAACCCAAAGGATGAAATATATTCTAAAGTTCTGACTTTTGAAGAGATTTTGTCATCAACTGAGGCTTATAGAGGTTATTCAAGGCTTGAGCTAGTTTCAGTGAGGCTCATATCTTGCAGCTGCATCCTTGGGAAGATTTGGTGGTGAGGAGGAACGGCCTACAGTTACACTAGGCAGTTACAGCTTGACTTTCTTGAGAGCTGAGAGACAAAGGGAAGTACACTCTGTTTTTAAGAAGAAAGCTTTCATCATACTGTGACACATTCAAATTTTCAATAGCAGATAATTTGATAAGTAAAGTGAAAGCTTGTTGGATTGATTGCCCATAGGTTAACGCTTTTATCTCGTACTGTGGTCAGTAAAAATTTCATAAGAAAATACTGTTGCACACATCACCACTCTTTCACAACAAACCTGTTTGCCTGTATCTGATTGTGCAGATGAATCCGTCATGCATTAGGTGTATTGTCTTAATAACTCCAGAAGATTCTTCATATGTTAATGTGACCTGAGTGGTATCATAGAGAATCTCAGACAGCCTTGCTTGCTTGGTGTACTTGTATAAAACTCTGCGCCCTGTCCCCAGATGCAGGGTCTGTAGCAGTCGGCCATCTCGACTATAGTCTTGAATAAAAGAAGTGCTACTGTCTGGTGGGGTGTAGATGTTCCGATAGTAGCCCACCGAAAGCATGGTTTGTAAGCTGTGGCGCACCATACTAGGCATGGTGACTGAGAGCAGACAATCTGATTGGTCATATTCAAAGATGTAGCGCCGCTGGCTATGTAAGAGAAGCATCACAGACTGAAACGAGACAAAGGCAGAATAGCATAATATGGACCACTAAAGTCGAGGAGATTAAAGAATTCAGGGTTAGGTATACAAATGCTCATTATGCAGGTACCCTTGTTGATAAGGTGTGCCCCCCTCCTGGCAGTTTCCCACTACTGCCAATCGCGCCCCACATAACCCATTCTTAAGAGACCAGGTAAGGCTTCTTGGAGAAAGTGACATCAGAATTGAGAACTAAAGGATGACTGGGGTTGTCAAGGCGAAGCAGAGAGGCTGGGATGGGGGTAGGGAGGGAGTACTCTTGGCAAAGGGCACAGCATTTTGAGGGTCTGGACATGAAAGAGAACATGATTTTTTCAAAGAATGAGAATTTTGCATGGCCATAGAATGGGTGTGTTTGGGGGCAGGGGTGGTGGTAAATGGCAAGAAAGGAGGCCAGCTAGATAGGCTGGGTCCAGATGATTCTGGGCTTTCTAAGCCATGCCAGGGAGTTTGGACTTAAGTATGTTGACAATAAGGAGTCACTGAAGGATTTCTATTTTTATTTTATTTGTTATTTTTAGAGACAGAATCTCACTCTGTTACCTAGGCTGTCGTGCAGTGGCACGATCATAGCTCATTGTAGTCTCGAACTCCTGGGCTCAAGCCATCCTCCCACCTCAGCCTCCTGAGTAGCTGGGACTACAGGCATGCACCACCACACTGGGTTAATTTTTTATTTTATATTTTGTAGAGACGGGGTCTCACTATGCTGCCCAGGCTGGTCTTGAGCTTCTGGCCTCAAGTGGCCCTCCCACCTTGGCATCCCAAAATGCTGGGATTGCAGGTGTGAGTCACTCTGCCCTGCACCATTGAAGGGTTCTAAGCAAGCTGGATGGGGTGTTTGCAAGATGGGAGAAATTGTCAAGCTGGTATTTTAGAAAGGGTATTGCTGTTTCAATGTGGAGATGGTTTGGAGGAAGGTAAATGAAGGCCTGGGCCTGTCACAAATTAATTTACAGTTACCAAAAAGTATGTATTGACTTCACATAGTAGATGTCTTCCTAAGAAGTTGTATATAAAATAGTATTACAGTATTATTATTGTTTTGCAATTTGTTTTAACTTCACATTTCAATTCATGTTTTACAATTAGAGGAACGTGTCATTAAAAATGAAGACTTTTCCAGCTATGCAATCCCTTTCCCCCCAAATTGATCTGTATTTTAGATACAGTTATTGGTTGAGGTATAATGCCTAGCACGTAATAGATGTTTCATAAATATTGATTGATCTTATTTTAATTTAAAATATAGGCATAAAAGCACTGTTTTGGGGAGGACTCTGGTTGACTGACATATAAATGTCATCTTTAAAAAAAATAAAAATTGCTTACCCCTGGCAATTCTGATACAACTCCTTAGGGGAGTTTTATCCTTCCCCTATTGAGAAATACCTTATCAAACTAAAGGATTTAGTTGAGTTTCATTTCATGAAGTTTGTGTTATGAAAACACAGGTACTTTTTCATTTTCTAAACACAAACTACATAAGTACTAATGAATGTGAATTACATAAACATATGTAATCTACATTTAAATCTTCTAAATAGGAGATAATATTTTAATATTGAATGTGCTTTTTGAAACTGCATATCCTCCCTACTCTTTTGAGGATTATTGATTTTGAATTGCATGTCAGTTTCAGGAAGTCAAAGTTTGTGGTTACTTGCTCTTTTGTTCATTCATTCTTTTCCATCAACACTATGCTGGGAGGGACAGAGGTGAGTGCAGAAAGCCTGCCAACTTGTCACCTGTGGATAACTTGCAGCTTGCCACAGCCTACAATTCTACTACCATCGTGACCTCTGAAAACTCTTCTGCACAAAAACCAGGAGACTTGGAAATCCTGTGTGGGCTTGGGGACATGAAGGGAGAACTGCCTCCCTTGACCAAGGCTGAACTCAAGCGAACCAGAAGGGGGTAGCAGGTGGCCAGGGATGGGGGCAGAGAGGCTTTATACAGGAACTGGTAGAAAATGCCTTTGCCATTGTCTCTATGCTGAAAGTGACATTTCAGTTCCTTTCCACTCTCTTCTGTCAATTTTCCATGAACAAATGACACGTCACCTGTGACACGGACCAGGGACAATAACCATATGGCTCCCAAACATTATCTAGTATCAGCCTGCCTGAGCCTTGCCTTTTCGAGTCGCTGTGTCAGCCTTGCCAAGTAGTTATAGCACAATGCTATTCTACTCTTCCCTATTCTCATCCTCTAGCCTGCAGTAAACCACTGCCTGAACCCTGGTCCTAGATGGTGCTGATACTGTCTCAAAAGCCCCCTGGTCTCTTTTAAAGCTTCCTGCCAATGGACAGAATGTGAATGACATGATTAGAATTGAGTGAATGTAACTGTTATGTTGCCAGAATACTATTTAGCTATCATTTGGCTGCTTTTTCACTTTGGGTGGTCATTATTATCACTTTGTTCAAAAACAATGCTTATGTGTTCATCCAGTGTCCACAATGCTGCTACAGAATAAAAGGCCATGTCTTATTAGTCCAAATAGATTGAGAGACTTTTATTCTTTTAATTGATTGTGAGGTCCTAAAAGAGATCATCATAAAGCAAAAAAAAAAAAAAAAAAGGACAATCATGAACAAGAATGGAAAGTAGAAATTTAACAAGGTAAGGCATATGAATAACCACCAGATGGCAGTGTGGGGCCACCTGGAAGCTCAAGCCAAAAAAAACCCGGCATTCGATCCCTCTAGGCAGCCTTTGAAAACTCAGCCTCTAAGAGGCAATTTCTGTAAATGTCTAAGACTAAAGTATCTTATTAAATGATTATGAAATATATTTAAATGTATTTTTAAAAATGAAGTTCGCAAGACTTATTTTAGGAAACTGAAAGATTTACATTTACTGTAATACAAAATTTTAGCCCCACAAGTCTTCAAAATATAATTAACTCAGAGAAGTCTCATAAATCAAGACAGAGAATTAATGACCACATAGAGAAAATTTAAGAAACAATAATTGATTTTTTAATAGAGAAGAGATCATTAAGCAACCGCAGCCATTACCCAAATAATTATTTTTCTCCTAATGGCTGCAAACCATTGTGCACGAAAATGATATGCATAACTTTCACTTACTCTAGAGGAAGTCAAACTATTTTTATAAAATTTCTGCAAGTTAAGGTGAAAAGTCTGCTGCTACTTTTTAATATATCACGGTATAGGTATGGCAAGCACATCTACAGAGGTAATACCAGAAGTATTTCAAAGTTTGAGAATTCTTGGTTTAAAACATACTATAAGAACCAGCCCCTTTGTACCTGCTTTGCCTTTGTCATAGTGAAAAAATATGCCAGCAAAGGCCATGTTAAAGAGAGGACTGGAAAGAAGGCAAGAAAACACAGAATCTCATCAAGTCACTAAAAAAGTTACATGTAAATGGGATTTTGGTAAATTCGACCTTCTTCTCTGACCCCCCGTTTTTTTTCTAGAATCACAATTTCAAAGATGCTTTAATTCCTCCCTCCCTTCTGCTCTTTTCTCTTTTTGTAGAGGCAAGGTCTAGCTGTGTTGCCCAGGCTGTTTTGAACTCCTGCTGTCAAGCAATCTTTCTGCCTCAGCCTCTCCAAACGCTAGGATTATAAGCGGGAGCCATCACTCTTGGCTTTCTTTCCTGTTTTGATTTACCTTCAAGTGGCAGTAATTGCTAGCTAGCATTTAAATTCTCTACTTGGGTGCTTTATATTAAGTTATTTCATTTAATCATCATATCTATTCAGTGAATTAGTTATGATCACTGGTAATAATAATGTTAATAAAATCAATTTTATGATAAGTGATTTTTGGAAAGTAAAGAACCATTTCATAATTATGTGTTTTGTAGGTTCTGAGTTTTGCATAATAGGATTGCTTAAATCAGTGACTACCCTTTTAATTAGAGAACAAATTAAGCATGAAATCAAGAAAAGGACAAAAGTCAACTAAAAAGCACAAATGAGCTGGCTTATCTCGTTGGCCAGGAAGTCACTGGGCCTTGGCTTGATCTTTATTCTGGGTCAGTAAGGTCTTATTTCTATCCACTGCAGACAATGACGGTCTCCCAGAGAGTTTCGTTTGTTTTGTTTTGTTTTTTCTTTCTTTTTTTTATTATAAAGATGTGGGGTACAATTCAGGGTTAGGTGTACAAATGTTGATTATGCAGGTACCCTTGTTGATGAGGTGTGCCCCTCCTTCCTCTAGCAGTTTCCCTCAACTGCCAATCCCAACCCCCCTCTCCTGTCAGCTTCCCACTACTGCCAATCCCTTTCTTATTGTCAACTAAGTTTCTACAGTAATGAGAATGAATGTGAAATTTGTATCATGTGATACTTAGCTCAAGTAAATTTGATGAAATAATAATAGTTCCAAAAAGAGAAACAATAAAATCTTTTCATTGGTGTCAGAGAATAATTGCACATAGGGCTGAAATTTAACTTTTCAATAGGCTCTTTTGTTATTGTATAGACAACCTAAAGGGAAAGTCTTATGAGACTTAGATGTGACTGTCTATAGACAATTAGCTCAGTTGGTCATATTCTGGTGCTAATGAGGTAGGAGTTATGAATATAAATCCATGTATGCTCCTAGGGAGTGCTGACTACTTAACTAGTCACATGGAGGACCTATGGAAGGATTGGTGCAAACCTGTCCTCATCCTTGGAAAACTAACTCAGCCTATATCCTGTTAAGAATCAGTGGCATCTTTTTTTTTCTTATGAAGGTCTTCAATATACACTATAAGAAACACTTTGTGTACACATACCAGCAAATATTTGGATTCAGTAACGTTGTAACAAGTTTGTCACTTTGTAGACACTAGGCATAGGATTTTGCCAATCATTCTTGTTATCAAAATTAAAAAGAAAAAAGACCTGCTCTATAAGATTGAAATTTTCCCAGTGTAGAGGATAGAATATAGATTTGATAAATATCTTCAGCACAAAAATACATGGGGTGGACAAAGCAAATGACTCCCTCCTTTCATTCTGGCTCCCAAGTGAATTCTGCCTTATCTCCTAGGCATTTCTAACTTGGTAAATCCCCCCAAACTGATTTTGGAAAGTAGTAAAATCATTTTATCATGACATACAACCACCGGCACACTACTTTTTTTTTTTTTTAACTTTGGAACGGGTGTATCAAAAAGTCTTGGCATTATTTGATGCAAATAGTGAAATTTGTCACATGAGCTATGAGCTTCTATGACTTTCTATGAATTTCTAGGACTTGTGCTGATTGCCCATGAATACTCAAGGGAAAGCATCTTAAAATTTTCCCTGAAGTTAATATTTAGGACTGATGAATTCCTAAATTTATTAAATGAATAGATTTGGGAAACATGAAGTACTATCTTAGGAGATCAGGCATAGAGATAGCAGATAGAGATCAATTACTCTGGTAAGAGTCTGACCAGAAACCATTTTGCTATGTAGAAGCTGATGTTTGACAAATGGTTTCTGTAGTGATATTAAAATTCTTTTCCATTCTTACCAAGCAGCGGTCATAAGCTCCCATTATGGATGTGACTGGAGACTCACTGCTCACAAAGGACTATTAGCAGTGATGCCCCATTGCCACCACTTTCTCAGGAGAATTACTTTAGGAAATTAGTCCTTGAATGTATACAACCAAAATTTCACTGACTATCATAACAAAATTAGAATTCCTTACCCTTCGGGTGAGAGGGCCTTTACTGGATCTGAGATATATTAACACACAATTTTATAATTTTCTTGCTATTTTTCCTCAGTACGAGCTATCATCATAATAAAGATACCTTTTCAAGACCATGAACAAATATGCTCAAATGAGGAGAAAGCTAAGTCATTATTCTCACTTCAGTTTGAAAGAGTGCTTGGCAGAGTTGGGAAAGTTTTCAGCTGAAAAACAGCTTATCCTTGAAGGTTCAATTTTTTTGTTACTTCTACAGAACAGAACAGCCAGAACACAGGTTTTCCTCCTACAGGTCCTCACCAATTAGAGCCAGTTTCAAGGGTCTCATTCAGAAACTTGAAACTTGTTTTTTTTCCCCCGCTATGTACTCACCTTTTCTAAGTAGGTATAGCTCCAAATTTTCCCATCAGCCCAAGTTCTTGAAATTATTTTTCCACTCTGGTCATATTCCATTTTTTCATTCCACGTCCCTCTTTGAATAAACGTCACCAATCCTGAAGGTGAATATGTAATGTTCACTTCATTGTACCTGCTTACGGGGGACCACAGAATGGGTCGCCCAGTCTGATCATAAAGAATTCGTAGGGTGAACTTTCGATGGTCATCATAGATCTTTCCTGTGCGAGTTATATGATCAAAATCTATTGAAAGCAGGTTTCGGTTATGGGCCTACGAAAAAGAGATACAAAATACATTTTAAGTACAGCCTTGCTTTCCTCATCTAGTGCATTCAAAATCGTGAAGCCTTTCCTGATTGTCCATTGGTGGGGTCTCTCTCTCACATCTGAATCCTCATGGCTTCACGTTCCTCAGAAGTCAAATGTCTTCATTCCCCCATCAGAGTGTGTGCTGGAGGGTCAGGGCTAAGCCTTAATTCCTAGGATGGTGCCTGGCAAACTCTAGAACCTCAATATATAGCTGCTGATTGTTTTTTCATAGCTCAGGCCTCAAGTGCATTGCCTCAGTTTTCAGTAATTATGTGATCTTATTTTATGTGGGCTTCCTTCTCCCTTTTTGCCAGTGAAGTAGCTAGAACATAAGATGGTGAATGATTTATGTGATTAGAAAACAGAAGAAAGGAATACAGTGAGCTCCTTTAATTTATTCAAATTCTCTTCTTTGGCTTTCTTGTTTACCTGGGCTTGGAGTTATATGACTTCACACACATCACAAGGGAATTCAAGTTGCCCCTAGCAATGGAATCCCACTCAGCAATTTTTTTAATGGAAGCCTGCAGGGAAATGTGTTTGGTAGGTGCTGGTAGCTCCCCTAGCATTTGCAAGTGTGGCACCAGTAACTGAGGTTAAATCATAAAGTTAAGTTTGGATTTTGAGCTTAGAAACAATTAGTAGTTTGCCTTGGTTCTGGTTCTAGGCTTCTTCTATTGTATACTAGCATTTGGGGGGGCACCTCAAAACTTTGCACTTGTCCCAGAGCAAGACTGATTCAAGGGATCATCAATCGGATTCCTGGAAGAAAGCATTCAGTGTTGTCTGACTTTGATGAAATTCAACTGGGTTCACAAGAGATTTTATACCACAAAATTGTGCTAAGAATTTAGTGAGATTACACACACAATTGTTAGTTTTACAATATAATGATCACTTTTCTCATTTTATTTAGTCCTGTGAATAGGCCCACGTATCAGATTGCAAGATGATTATAGTTTTGTATACTTAGCTGTATACCTGTAAGAACTGTCAACATGATCTTGAACAGAATAGTAAATATATGGTTAATGAGGTAGGGGAATGAAACCAACATTAGGGTTTGACAGCATTAATTATAGTCAGACCAAACTATTCACTAACTTCTCAACTGAACTTTATCTTATTTTTAACTTTTGTGGTCAAGGATCCCAGTAAACATCTGAAAACTATGCAATGTGTCCCAGTAAAATACACATAAGCACACATATGAACATTTTTGACATAATCACGGGAAGCCTCTGAACCCTCCTGAAACTCAAACATGAAAACCTCTAGGAGTCACAGGAATCTAAGTTCAAAATCCTCATTCAGGAAATGCTTTTAACTTAGTGGCCTGGATAACTGCAAAGTCAACATTCTCATATGAGTCTGGTCTTCCTTTGGTCAGAATCACATGCACTTTGCTTTTTATGGTAACCTCCTCTCCCTTACTCCCCAATTATAAAAGTGATAACTTTTCCATTGCAGAAAAATTAGAAAATACAAAAAGGACACAAAGAAAATAATTACCTGTAATCCCAGCCCCAATAAGAATCACTGTTAACACTTGGCTGCATGTCATTCTATTTTTATTACTGTTTTTGCATAATCTCTGTTTATACATTTAAAACATACAACTAGGATTGTACTTAAAGATGTACATCCTACTTTTTCAGCTAGTGTTTATCTTCAGCATTCCTCATGCTATTAAATATTGTTAAAATATGGCTTTTAATGATTGCATAATAACTTACTGCCTGATAAACATTTATTTATCTATTCTCCCATTGTTGGAAATTAGAGTTTTTGTTTTCCATTTTTTTCATCTCTCATGTTTTGTTGAACATTTCTGTAAATAAGTATTTCTTTAATACAGAATTCTATGAATGAAATTACTGGCTCAAATGAGAAGAGCATATTAAAAAACTTCTGATGCAACTTGAGAGATTAATTTATAGTGCACAAAGGTTGTACAAATTCACACCCCATTAACTAGCAGTGAGAGAGCACATCTCATTCCATCCTTGCTAGCATTGAGTATTACCACTGTTAGAAAACTTTTCCCAGTATGAGAGTGGGAAAATGGTATGTTCCTGTGACTTTCATCTGAATGTATTGGATTACTAGTAAGGTTGAACCCTTGTAAATGTCTACTGGCTACATATATGCCTCCTATGAATTGTGTGCTCATGACATTTGCCATTTTTCTACTGGCGTGTGGCACTTTGCTTTTTCCTTCCTTCCTTCCTTCCTTCCTTCCTTCCTTCCTTCCTTCCTTCCTTCCTTCCTTCCTTCCTTCCTTCCTTCTTTCTTTCTTTCTTTCTTTCTTTCTTTCTTTCTTTCTTCCTTTCTTTCTTTCTTTCCAGGGTCTCTGTCACCCTGGCTGGAGCACAGTGGCATGATCACGGCTCACTACAGCCTCGACCTTTGGGACCTAGGTGATCTTTCTGCCTCAGCCTCCTGAGAGCTGGGACCACAGGTACATACTACCACACTCAGCTAATTTCTTTTCTTTCTTTTTAAAAAAAATTTTTTTATAGAGACAGTTCTTGCTATATTGCCCAGGCTGATCTGGAACTCCTGGGCTCAAGCAATCCTCCTGCCTTAGCTTCCCAAAGTGCTGGGATTACAGTGTGAGCCACTGCGCCTGCCTGGTACTTTGCTTTTTTCCCCCCTCAAACACATGATTTTATTAGATGATAATAGGAACTGGATTTGGATTATAACAGAAATGTTTATAGTACATTTCAATATTTTGACAACCATATAAGCTAAACATTCAGAACTTCAGCAAATACTATGCAACAGAAAGATAGGAAAAAGAATATCTAAATCACAAAGCACTCCCATGACAGAGAGGTACTTTGCTTTTGATTTCACTTTCTTTACTGGTCTGCAGGGGCTAATGATATTTGCCCTTAGTTTTGAACTTCTGCAAAAAAGGACCAATCAAATATTCCATTCTATGAATTCTAGCCAGAAAACCAGTGATTAGATACTGAAATTATTCGGAGGGTAGTGCTATTAGTCTCAGGGATAGGTTTAATTCAGGGAACACAGCCACAGATTGGGAATCATGACTCTTTAAACCATCTGTAGCCAATGCGTGCAGTGTTGTCTTGCATAAATATACAGTCACCCGCTGTTATCACCTAAAAGGTGATAGAGAAGCACATACTTCCTGTCTTTTGATACGACGGGCTTGGAGGCCTATAGGAAACCAGGTGTTCTTTCTTCAACTACCCTTCCTGTGGTTTTATAGCCACATATCTCCAACTGTAATACCGTTCATTTACAATAGCTGTAAAATATCCATGTACTCCTAGAGACGGTTGTAACTGTTACGATTTATGTTATAATGATAGTTAAAGAGCCAAAGTAACAAGTGATTTCCAGTTCAACTAAATTTGTGGTTTTATTTGTCTGATAGATTCAGTTTACTACTCAAGAACACATTTCTTAATAAAGTCATTACAGCTACATAAGCAGAGATCACTGTTTAAAAATCCACTACAAAGCAAGCAGAGGACAACTCTGCCTAATGTGCTTTCTCTGCCTGCTAAGACTTCTGTAGTCATGCTTCTCTCTTTTTTTTTTTTTTTTCTAGATAATGCACCCTGATATTTCAATGTTGCTGAAACACTCGTTTTAAAGTCTGGGTTGCAAGTTAATGTAAAATTCAGATAAAAGCAGACAGAAGATGAAGGAATTGAAGATACTACAGGTTCTCCACTAAGTCTTCTGTGGAAACCATGTGTGAGAAGCCAGGGAGAGGAGAATGCATTTCTAGGAGAGATCTGTCAACCTCCTTGAGTGCGTCTGTGCTGCCAACCTCTACAGCGGGAATTAGAACTAGGCTGACCGCCACTGACTGCTGTGGCCATGGGAAAGCTTGGAAAAGCTCTAAATTCATACAAGTGTTTGCTTTCCTGAAAGATGATAGCCTTTGACCTAAGTGTGAGGGGCATAAACAAACAAACCAACAGACAAACAAACAAAAAAGGAAATTTGGGAATAGTTCTAATTTGAAAAGGGTCTCAAGGGATTGGCAGAGGTGGGAAACTGCGGGGTTGGGGGTTGGGGGTAGGATTGGCAGTTGGGGGAAACTGCTGGGGAGGGGGGGTGGGATTGGCAGTTGGGGGAAACTGCCAGGGGAGGGGGGGTGGGATTGGCAGTTGGGGGAAACTGCCAGGGGAGGGAGGGGCATTCCTCATCAACAAGGGGTACCTGCATAATCAACGCTTGTATACTTAACCCTGAATTGTACTCCACATCTTTATAAAAAGCAATTTAAAAAAAGGGTCTCTTTGGACAGTTACATATTGAACAAGACCGTTGTGTTCTGCAACTGATAAGCTGTATGTTGTGGTAAGAAAGCCAAATTCCATAATGTTTTTAATAAAGGAATATGTGTCTATGCTATTATAATGTATTCTTTCATTTTCCTTATTTTTTCCCCAGTTATACTAAGGAGAAGGGCTTGATTTTTGTTCACTCTTGGACCAGAAGGAAAGAGGGAAGAGTGTTCTCTGGAGAGTCATGGACAGTGCTGCCAGCAGAAATGAGAGTGACTATAGGAAGAAGCTTCAAAGGCAAGTGTTCTCTGCCTCTTTTCAGAGTCCTTTCCTGCACTTTACTAGGAGTTGGCGTTTTAATTGTTCAAAAGTCCCTTCAACCCTTCCAATCTGAGACTTATTCAATTAGATAATGTTATATTAGGCTTATCTAAAGGCAATTGCTGATGTTTGACTACTTTTGTCTACACAGAAGGAAATTTGCTATGATTCAACTAACTACACACACACACACACACACACACACACGCACACACACACGTGCTGAATTCTGAGCTATAATCACAGCTGTTGATTTTCTCTCCTCTATAAGGAGGAGAAGGCTGAATTTTCAAGGACACTGTCTAGCATTTCAGTTTACCGTACAACGGAGTTACCTGTTTAATTTTTTGCTGAAGAAGTCAGA